TGATAGGTAGAATTAAGGTAATAATCTTACAATTTTTTCCTTGTAAGTTATGTACAGTGAACATCGCATAAAAACAAAGAGCTCATGTATATATTCATGTAGGAAAAGAGTAAAACCTATGAGCCAGTAGTCCCACTCAGAACCAGCACAGCAGAGAAACTAGATGAAAAAAATATAGGGACTATATTGTCTATATATTACTGATAGATATATATCTACAAATATTGAAATACCTACATATGTATGTAAATGCTGTAGGTTACTGGTTTGATTCTTTGCAAAGACCAAATAGAATTTTGAGAGTATTTTACAGGGTAGGGTTAAGTTCAAAGTGGTTTTACGTCAATAAAAGTATCTTTCTTTTCTTTTCATCCCCTTCCTGACAGCTTAGTCAAGACAATTTTTTTCCCTGAGGAGGGAAAGAAGTGCTATTTAATTTGATATTAGCTAACTCATGGTAAGCGGCAGTCAGCTACAGAAGGCTGAAGTCACACAATTTGTGTCTTCCACCATAATCTGTTTCACAAGTCAAAATAAGGAACATAAAGCATATGTAAAGCATATAAAATACTAAGCACATAAAGCATATAAAGTACTAAGTACTTAGGTGGCTTCCCTGGTGTCATTAGGAATACTAGAGACTAGACCTAACACCTTGTCAACTTTAGATGTGGCCACTCTCTGATGCTTTTTGGGGAAGGTGAAGAAACTAATTAAGAAACAGTTTTCACTTAGATGCACAGAAACAGACACATTCTGTTTCTGTTAAAAATTGTGTACCATTTCACGGGCTACTGGAAAACAATAAGCAGAGAAGCATATTTTTAAAACTATGCAAAAGATAACTAGTGAAACAAAGTGCTCTGGTTAATTCTTTATTTTCAACATCAAATACATTGATAAAAATCTTGCACCAATCAGGTAGCCTACCAGATTTTTCATTTAGACTTTTTTAGAACTTTTTTAGGTGCAAAACAAAGAAAAAAAAAAACCTCACCAAAACAAAGACATCAATAATTTTATATGCATCAGTGAAAGAACAGAATACTTCAACAAACACATTATGGTAGCTGAGCCTATACCAAAGAAAGGACTTTCCATTGACAGACTACATAGTGCACACATAAGCATTAGTTTTATAGTATATACAATAAGGTGATACATAAAGTGGCTTGTTAATGCGAGTCTCGTGACCAGCAGTCTATCCCTTCATTTTCCGATGGGCACTTTCTGAAGAAACAGACTTCTAATTATAGGCACACAGGAGTACAGAGTATACTAATTTGCAAGATGGCAGCATATACATTTTTTTAAATTTTTGTTTCTTTAGGCACATTTGAATGCAAAATATTTTTTTTAGATTTTTTTTTTTTTTTAACACAGTGCAAAACCAAATACCCTTATGGGCAGCAATCACTTTGGAAACAACTTTCAGGATATAAGGCTATCTACTTTTGAAAGATGAAAGGGAATTACAAGTAGAAAGGGTAGGACATTAATACTAGGGAAATATAAATTTAAAATTCTCAGATCAATTTGAGATTATGCTATAGTTGCAGGTGACAGCAAAGACTGGTTTGTATTATGATACCATCGTTAACATGACCCTTCTTTTACATGCATTGAATTTCTATCTGTAAAGCTATGTTACAGTTGTAGATAGCATTGAAAATAGCCACCTCTTTATTCAAAGTAAGAAATGCACTTCACATAAGTTCAGCTGAGACTACCTTATATACAAAATCCCATTAGCTTTAGGTTGGGTTGCATTCTAATTTTAAAGCAGGATATTACATACACAAGAGAGGCTTGCTGTGTTCCTACCAAAGCCTGTGATAAGACGAAGGCCCTAGTGAGACAGAATTTTTACATTGCTGGTATTTTTTTTTTTTATTTTAAGCATTTGGCACAACTCTTAAGGAATCAGTCAACACCAATTGGAATGGATGGAGGCTCCATAGAAACACTGGCTTGGATGAAGGGGGTGATTTGGGTTTTCTTTTAGTTTTTTTCAATTTAAAGTCCAGTGACCTGCTGACAGTCCTTGCAATGTCCTTGGGACCTCAGTTGAGATTATTTCCTTAATTATATTTTTAAATTATTAAACCCCTCAGTGTACAGAAGGAGAAAAATCATCAAGAGATGTCACTGAAACATAATAGTAAATTTACCACAAACACACACCAAGAAACTCTCATTAAATTATTTTGCCCCAGTACAAATCCTACTGACCCAGCTGGGAGTTTTACCTGAGACAAAGTCTCCAACATTGAGACGTGGCATGAACTACTACAAATCAGAGTAGCTTTCACATATCGTTGGAAACTCAGACACCACTAAGTGCTACACATCACCCTATCTGCTCTCCTGCCTCCCAAGCTTTTTGTAATAATTCGGTAACAACCATATTCTCAAGCAAAGCAAGTTCATCTGGTCTATTTCTGTTTGGCTTGTGCTGGTATTACATTGCCTATGTTTCTAGGGGTTTTTTTGGTTTTTTGATTTTTTTTTTTTTTTTAAAAAATCCACGTATAAACGTTATAAAATAATCATTTCGTTAGCTGTCCAGAGAAATCACTATGAATGTTTTGGTAAAAGCATAATTAGCTGCCTTGAATAGTTTTCTTTCCATTTTTTTTTTTTTTACATGCTATATATTTTTATTTAATATCCAGCACCAGGTATTCAGGTAGTACTGGTTTGTCAGCTGCAAATATAAAGTATATATGTATATATATATACACACACACATAAAATAGCATCCTGTGAAATAACAATTACCAAATGTCAGGCACAATTTTTTGCATACATGAGAGCATAATTCAGAATTACATATGAAAAAGTTGCCATTTTTATATCATAGACTTTGTTTAATCAATTGAATAGCTATATTCAGCTGTCTGATATGTGGACAATCATCTTTATAGATAACTGTGGAAAGGTTACTATATTCATTAAGGTGCTGCTTCAATTACTATCTCATAAACAAGTTAATAACACAGATCCTGAAGCTGCCCCAAGGTAAATGAATGTATTACTGGGAATCACTGTTTTACTTTCTTGGGTGCCCTTCACTGTTGTCACCACAAACATGGAAGGACTGGTTGAATCTAAATTACTTCCTTGCAAGGGCTGAGCTGAGGAAAGCAAGCCTTTGTAATTAAGATTGTGAGCTGACTGATTATTCCTTGTGCTCCAAGACACATTATGATACCCTTCTGTCTTCTGCATACCACTTCAAATGACACTTACCCAGCTTCACTGGGAAAATCTGTAGAGTGTAGTGGTACTTGCGCTATGTAAGTACCATCAGAATCTGACCCTCTGTTGTGAATTGCTCTCCATGAACTACTTTTCCTCTAGGCCACATTAACACTTGAATCGATGTAATGGACTGTTCTGGGATGTAGAAAGGGAGGCATTAATTTAAACCAATTTGCCTTGCAGCTTATGAGCTTGATCTGTGTGTGCTGTCGTAGAGAACACCAAGTTGCATGTACAGTATTTAAAGAGCAGCACTAAAGCACACTAGGCTACCAGTGAATGATGATGGTGTAAACACCTAAGTGTAACTACAGGGATTCCTGTGCTCCGTTCAGATCTTAGCCTGCACTCATTTCAGGGCATTCATGATTTTTCTAACACATTTGAAAACCAGCTACTAAACAAAACAAAATGTGCATTTTCTTTCAAGGCATTTAGGAGCCCTCCAAAAGCCTTTAGGTGCCAAATTTGCACACACACGCGCTCACACACACACACACTCTTACTGAATACACAAAACAACAAATCCTTCAGCACATTCAGAAAAAAATGACACTATAATATGCATCAATAAAAGGCCTATTAACTTACAGTGACTGCTTCACATGTTTAGGCTTGCACAGTTTTCGAGGAATCTTCTCAAACACAGGTAGCATCTAGCTTTAGACTTTTAAACTGTGCGTATCCTCGAATATGTACATGAAACTGTTATAGACATCATTATGTACATTCACTAAAGAATAGAATCCTTGACTTGGAGCACAAACTTGTCCTATGCCTTGCTGCCTTCACAATTGCTATGTAACTCCATCTCACTGCACACAGACTCTGCTCGTGTAACAGGGAGCGTAATTAGACATAGGCACTCCTGGACGGCATTAGTTGCACTATTTCCTATATTTAGTTACTACAGGATATTCCAATCAACATAATCTCACACAAAGGTTTCAACTATACCAGTAAAAGAAGCATCCCTGAACCCTTCTCTAGCACTGAGGCCAGCTGCTGTGGAGCAGCCTAGGCATGTGCTGTGAAATGTCTTTACTGGCAGGGTGGTCGCTTCCAACCAGCTATTGGAATAGTCCCTGGTCCATGCTAACTCGCAAACTGCACCTGTAAACCCGAAGTACAGACAGCACAGGTGAAGTTCATCATTAGAATAATAAAATATCCCTGGCATATGTAATAATTGCATTCCAGTACCCAGCAACATTCCCTGACGTGTTTAATTTTCTAGCATAAAGGCAGCCAAACAGCAGCACCAACTCCTACTTTGAATAGCACATAGTATGGATTTCTTCAGTCTCTCTCCTTCATGTCTTGCTGAAACTCTTGATGTCAGTGGACCTTGTGTATATTTACAGTTGGTCTGAAGAATCTGACTAATTCTTATGAAAAACAGTTACACACATGCATGGAGAAAGCCAGATTTATCTTCCTGGACATGCAGTCCCAGAGTCTTCATCATGTCTAAGGCTCATTGCCCAGTTCTGGTGTCACAGGAGCTGGCTCTTAACAGTGATTTTTGAGCATGCCCCAACGAGAGCCAAAGAAAGCCAAGGCAATGCAAAACCTACTGCTCTGGCTGTGACGCCAGCCCTCCCGTACACAGCTAGGCCACACTCCACTCAGTGGGATCAGACCATCCCACCCTGCTGTGCCAGTCTTGCACTGGCATCCTCGCCCCTTGGGTTGTAGCACAACAAAGCAAAGGACAGGAGGAGGGTTTTTTATAAAATAGTGCTGGATCATGTATGTGTATGACGATTTTTTTTTTAAGACCTGATGATTTTTGTAATCATCTGATCTGATTTAGGAGCAATTATCTATGTTATCACTGTTAGCCGTGTTGCCCTTGATTTACATACTGCCAAGCAACAGAACAATTTAGCTTTGTAGGATCAGGCAAGATAGGATGCACGCAATGCAATTCAGCTAGAGGACATGGTAAGGAGACCTAAAAGTTTGGTCAGTAGGATCTTGAGAAGGAGTTGTCTGATGATGTAAGCCAGCAAGGTAAAACAGTATTATTCTCAGACAGGGGTTCCTTTCTACTGTAGGAAGAAGAGCGGCGGGAATCTACCTAAACTACCAAGGCAGTCACTAGCAGTGCAGTTTCACTATGGCACACTTAGATGCCAATCAACTTTCCATTTACCTCCCCCCCGCCCCCAAATGTCATCCAGAATCTCTACCAAACTGCTTCAAAATTTCAAACAAGGACTAAGCGAGCTCAGAATTTTGTGTGGATATCAACAAATGCTACCACTTATGAAGATGCCAATACACATGGGTGGTATGGCTTATTCATTTGTAGTAAAATGAATGTTCGGTTTAGATTAGGACTTACCCAACTTACATGCAAAATTAAATAAAAACACTGCAAATTTTAAATCAAGTTAGCCAGACAATCCTTGCTGGCTGTCCATAGCAATGAAATGTTTTTCATTTAGGATAAGCAATCAATTTAGGCAAGTGCTTGACAAACACTCAAATGGAAAATGCAGGTGACTGTTGTCATTGGAGTGTTTACATAGGTGGCACTATAGACGAAATGAAGCATGGGCTAGGTAGTGCGCTGCTGGGTTTCTCATACCATTATACATGCTGACTTTTGTTTATATTGTGTTCTGAATATTCTCCTCTTCTTTGCTGTTTATATAAAAAGACTGCAAGGAATGAGATGAAGCTGATGCAGTTGTCAGCTGGCTCCGGTTCTCCTCTTCCATCGGTGCAGCGCTCCTGGCTGCTGGGGCATGCAGTCGGTGAGCGTCCAGCATCTCCAGCAAAAGATCATAGAGTGGAACTACGTTTTTACACTTCATATTATACAGGTGCTCCATTCCTTTGTTGCTGTGGGTTGTAACAAAACAACAGTTACTTTCCAAATATGCTATGGGGGAAAAAGCTATCAGCTAATAGTATTTGTTAGGTTCATATAAATTCCACGTTGTACAAAATACTTAACAGTGCAGTTGCTGTATGCTCCTGCTACAGTTAGCAGAAGGCACCTTCAAAGGACATTTCAGACTGCCCATCAGCGAGTTGCCTTCTAAAGGTGACTCTTTTGCTCTCCTTTGCCCAAAAGGTAGCCTAGAACACATGGACTCCTAATTTAGGCACTGTGACTAAGTGGATGGGATGAATCTTGGCTTTCCCATAATAAAACCCAAAATACCAGATATTTTTCCTACAAAATAACCTCAGCCAATTTGTTAGCAAATGCCCACTTGTAAGAGTATCCATTCACAAAACTATGGAAACAATAATAAACTTCGCTGTGCATCTGGAACTTCCTTAATTGTACAAATTCTTCTTAAGGAGAAAAAAAAAAAAAAAAAAAAAAGGATGATTAACATGAAGACAAAGAAATTCCACAAAAAGACACAAGTAAAAAGAACACATGCACACACCCCTTGACTTTTTCCTGAAGACCTGTATATCAGCCCAGGAGGTAAAATCTGCATGTTTCAGCTTTAGTAGCTATGATGTGATGCTTACTCGAATTTTAATTTTATTAAGTAACTGAAATAATGAAAACTAAAATCTGTATAACAACATCTCTTGTCCCTTCATACAAATAAAATCTATACTCTATCTTTGTATAGACTTGTCATGTTAACACTCCAGCCACTGAGGAGCTACCTTAAGAGGTAATTAGGTTTGGGAGAATCATTGTTGCGACTACTAACAGAGTGCCTCAGACACTTCACCTCTACTTAGCAAAGGGCACAGTCCTCTAGATTGGGATTCAGTAGGTCTGCATTTATCCTCACCCATAAAATACACTTAATGATCCTAACGTCTTTTCTAAAGTGATGTGCAATCAAGCCACTTGTGAAAAGTGGCTACATAAAAGTGATAGTTTTATTCAATCTCATCTTATAGGAGACTAAAGTTTGCAGAACTAGGCTACTGCGACGCTAGTATTCTACTTGGTACTTTTCAAACAGAATATAAGATGCACATAACATTAAAAGTAGATACTGCTTGCACCACTATCAAAACAAGAAGCAAAGGAAAAGAAAACTAGAAGAAACAAATGGGGAAAACATTTACTTCTTTCACACCATAATCCAATGTACTGTTTTGCACACATGTTCCATACATCTTTACAGAATGTAGACATAAATATTTTTTTGCAACAGCTCTACACACAGTTTGCACTCCCACCTGTGAAGGAAAAGTGTGTGTGTGCATTTGTGAAACTTCCCTTGCACGGGACCAGTGCAGCAGGGCTGACTGTGTGCTTGCTCTCACCTCATGTGTCTGATGTGAGAGAGGATGAGGAGGAGCTGAGCCAGTCGTCTGTGTTGCTGCTGCAGAGAAAGACCCGACTTAGCCATTAAGTGTATCAGAGTGTCTGTGATTTTGTCCAGAACACGGTGAATATAGTCTCTCTCTTCCAGAGACTTCAAGGTGCTGGAAAGAAAAGTGTACACACCTGGAGTAGGAAGGAGAAAGAAAACAAACAAACCACAGGCAAAAATTACTTTTATGCAGTCAGACTTGCCCAGGGGACACCTCGTGGCTGGCCTCTTCTGCTGTGTTAAACCATGGATGCTGACTGTGTGCAAACCCTCCTGCTTGCCAGCCAGGTCACTGCTTTGAATGACCCTGGAGTTTGGATGTGGTCACCATGGGCAAAGCAGGAGGAAGGCAATGCCTCTTCCCTGCCTGGGTCCATCCGAGGTCTGGGCCAGGTGGCATGCTACACCTGTAGCCTGCAGCTAGACCTACCTATGGGCTACAGTCTTCTCTCAGTCACTCGGCTCTGAAGACTTGAACCAGAAGGAAATTTTTCCAGAGATCAAAACACCTTCAAACTCCCCCTCCAACAGCCCCTCTACATCTCCTATAAAACACCCTAACCCAGGCATAAGAGCTTTTGACAGTAGTAATTCTTGGGTGCATGAAGCGCATCAGCTTTCTAAATGGGAAATTCTAAACTATTTTGTACCTTTTTATCTTGAATTTGTTCTGGACGACAATACATAACCAATGTGGATCAGGTCACAGCAGCACTGTGCTGCCAAAAGGCAACTGTTGAATTCAGCACCAGTTTTTTAATCTTCTGGAATGAGCCGATAACTCTAAACAGGTCGTATTACTATAATCCAGTCCTGAGGGAGCAAAAGCTTAAGATGGATGTACGGTAATACAATCAAACTGGCTTGATCATGATGTGTTCATTGCCCTGTGTCTATAATGTGCTTGACAATTCCTGTGCTTTAACCCTTCTGTATCAGCTCACAGAGCCAAGAAGAAATTTGGATTTTGTCCTTGGAAAAAATTGGTTTCTGGAATTATTTTTCATTTTGTTTTTCTTTAAAGCATCATATATAGCACAATATGCAATGCAGTTAGTAATATAAGAAAAAAAGGCGCACACACACTAGCATGCACACATACACAGACATATATACTCTAGCTTGTTTGTAGCCTGGGGGCTATACCATCAGATTTGAAGATAATAATATTTTGCCATGCATCTGAGCAGTCAGAGAAACAGAGATTTTTTTACCATCTTTTTGGCACACCTCACCTCCTCACACCATCTTGGTACTTCAAGGACATGACACCTAGAACTACTGTAACCTGCAAGTAGGTTTTATGACTTTGGGACTCCTGTACTAAAAAGAAATATAAATTTGTGTTTGTGAATATCATTGTGAGTGTCTCTGAAAGAAAGAGTGAATGAGAGACTGCTTTAAAAAAACAAAAAGGATAACTCAAACATAGCACAACTTCTGAAAACCATCAGTCAGAGTTCTTAATTTTGGTAATGAATATTGCTTCGAATTTGATATAGATAGATAGTACAATGGCCTCTTTTCTCATAAACCTTTTTACAATTATTATTATTATTTTTACTGAAATGAATTCACCAAAGAGAAACAGCTCCTGGGGCTTTTCTCAGCTGAATTACTCTTAACCACCCTCACTTACACTTACTGACAATACCAGGCTTTATAGCTTAGCAGGTACCTGTAGGGGCAAGATTCTTAAATACTACTGACAAAACACAGTCCATTAGAAGGAAACATCAGTCTCATAAGCCCACAGTGCCTCCAGAGCAGCTTCCTTTAGCCGGAGGATGCTATTGTACCCTTGTAGCAATACCCCTTAGTTTCATAGCTTCAAAACAGCAAAAGAAAAATATCTGTTAGGAGGAATTGTTTCTCACCTAGGTCTAGTCCAGAAGCTATTAAAAAGTATAAATCAAAAAAAAAAAAACACTCCCTGAAAAATGTAGAGACTTCAGGCAATTGTGAGTCAATAACTGCCAAGAAAAATGACCTTTGGTTTTCCTTTCTGCACCTCCACTCCCACCCTGATTGCTCCTGCCCCAGGCCAATGACCAGAAATTTCCCCAAAAGAAATGCCAGCTATCCATCACACACATACACACACAGACTTTTGGAACAAGAGGGCAGAAAATTGTCTTTGCAAAGTGAAATTGAATGGTCTCAAAGGTCTTTCCAAGCTCTGAAGCTGAAAGTAAGCCTAAATTGAATAGCTACCAGGTTATTTTCCAGCTCTTTCTGTAGGTCAGTATTGTAAAACATCCTAGGAGAAAGAACAGAGAAAGCACCATCCTGCAAACAAGGAAAGCCTGTTGGTCCGTGCCCATAATACAAAGCTATGCATAGAACAGGGTCCCTCAGGGACTGCAGTGCTACCATACCAGCTGGTGGCATATAGTGACATAATTTTATATGTGTCACCGTATGTAGTCACATGTTTTTGCATATTACTGTAGAGGAGAACACCCTCTACATCTTTTCTGTCACAATAAACCCCAGTTTAAAATATCTTTACATTTAGAGTTCAGGGTCACAAAAAAATACCCCAGGCTCTTCCCCTTCTACCTTGCCCCATTGCTCTGGATCTGCAGCAAGCCAGGCTGAGCTATGAGCAAACTGAGCTCTATACCATGCACTCATGTAATCATTCAGGCCCCAAAAATAAAGAAGTAAATAAAAAGCACAATTTAACAGGAGCTGGAAAAGTCAGGAGAAAAGAATAACAAATGGTCACATGGAACGAAGTGCCAGGAGGTCTACAGGATGCATAAAATCAGCTGAATCTTTCCATCTCTATGGACTAACCAGCTAACTAATTACGTAAATCAGCTCCTAAGGCAGACGTGACCTACATCTTCGTCTCCAAACTGAAAGCCTGTTGCTTTGCCATGTAGCACCACTTCTCTTTTCAGATACACTCAAAAGTAAAACATCTGGCATCATGTTGCCCATTCATGTTTCTAACACTTACTTTCCAGTGTTAAGAAACAGCCCTTTATTTTTGAGCTGAATGTGTTTTTCGAAAAAACAATTTTGCTTTTTAGTCAAAAGATTTATTGCTTATTTATCCAGAATCAGATCACTCCTCAGATCATCTGATCAATTCTGACCTTCTACCACACAGAGCACCACTGATTTGAACCTGCTGAATATGAACCTTGAAGTAATGAAGATCTAATATCTCCTAGCCTCACTCAATGGTCCCATCTTTCTTACATGCAGAAGGAAAATGGTCTCTGATTATCACTGGCTTCACTTGCTATAATTTTTTTTTTAACTTTTCTTTAGGCTAATCTTGAAACAAAAAATCCCATTAACAAAGTGAGATGTGCTTATGAAGGGTAGCTGGTGATGTCTGGCAGAGCTTTGTCTAAATAACAAATATAGTTTTCTGGATCAGAATTAAATACAGCAGTGGGACAAAAACCCTCAACAGCATGGCCTGAAGTCTTCACGTTCAAGACATGAACATCTAATGTGTTTTATTCAAACTTCAGATTCTATTCTTTTTTTCTAATTCTAATTCAATATTTCTATAAATCAATTACATATTCTAGATTTATTTAACAGGATAATTACATTTGAACATATTAGCTAAAAATTTGGAAAGCATCACTTTTCAGGAAGAACATTTAACTCTAGGAAATATTCTGTTATAATTATCAGGACAATAAAAGGAAAATAAAATGTCAAACAGTAATTACAATTGTCACACCCTGGCATCCAAGATAAAAACAATAGCCCTTCATTCCTAATATGCCAGGTGCTTGCCTCAGATGTCATTTTTTGGTAATTGGTGACAATCACAACAAAACCTGAACCACTTCAATATCTTATAGAGCATAAATGAAATATTTTATATTAGATTGTATAAATATATAATTTTGCTTGAACT